GACAAAAAGTCCTGTCTTCTTGTCTTTTCTTGTAATAACAAATACATTACAGCCATTATTAGCAATGGTCACTGTTAGCAGGAAGTGGAAATGAAAATCTAATTAAACAAACAGTATAACACAAAGGAAACACTAATGAGCATTATTAGGCACATTTCAAATAATGTAAACCGAACACTCTCATTTAGCCATCTTGTCCTGTTCATTAGCAGCAAAACAAAGAAAATATAATGAGACAACAACATAATCCTGACCATTTTCATAGTTCTGACATTCTAATGAAGAATGGAGCTGTACAAAACATGAAGTGGTAAAGAAGATATGCTTTCTGCTCTTGCAGCAGGAGTTGCAAATGGCTTTGCTGATGATAATACACTCTTTTTTCTCACTCTGTTTGGCAGACATACCGGGTCATTTGGGCATTTGCACATGAGTAAATATAGAAGACAAATTAAATTTCTAATTATTTTGCATGCATGCATTAAGGGTTTGAATTTGTAATTAAGAGACGAGGTTTCAGCAGGCGCCTTTCTGGATGAGTGGACATAACACGGACTTATTGGTGATTACTAGACTTTAATAGCTTAAAAGAGAAGAAGCGCTGGTAAATATAGAAGTCTAGAGCATGTGCATTGTGTAAATTAGAACTATAAGCGACCTATAATCGACTTTGTCTCATCGTTCCTTTAAAAGGTAACTAACAGTGATTTATTCAAAGAGTGAAGAACTTTAAGTGTGAATATTATGAAACCTGTTCGAACTGTCCTCTGAATTATTATTAACTGTGTTTCCACAAAGATCTGAGCAGTGGAGACAAGATGAAATGGCAACAAGTGTGAGCCATCAGTGTACTAATAAAGAGAAATGGCCACATGTGAACCTAACCAGGCTAACAAAATCAGTTTCTTTTACTCTAGCAAACCAAATTAGTGGTGTATATCCATTTTTTTCTTACTTTGATATTATTCTACTGACATCTAAGTCACCACTGATGACACTAACCCCATGCTACCAAAATATATCATTTTAAGTCTTTTAAAAATATTCTTTCAAGTAGTAGTAATCAGAGGACAAAGAACAATTATTGTAAGTGACATGCATACAAAATAATTTAATATTTTTCAATTGATAAAACTTTAAACATTTTTAAAGATACATTTCTGACATCAAATAATCTGTCACCTGTGTGGCTTGCAATACAGCCCTCACTCTGACAAGCCCAGTACCTGAACTATAGTTGTGCCATATCATGTCATCCACACTGATGCCAGGATAAATTCTTACGGAATAATGTCGTATTCATTGTTAGAGCAACACTGTGCATTTATGTTCCTTTGTGCATACGAGACACACCCAGAATCTAGCAGCTGGTCATGTGAAACCCCTATGCAAGTAAATGACTCTATCGTTGGAGCGCACTGTAAGATAGGAAAAGCAAATGGTGGATGGAACTTACTGACGTAGTTACATGGTGGAAAAGCAGGATACAGAAAAAGCAAGGTATAGCATCTCAGGCAGAAATAATTCTAATTATATGGAAACATCGTGCAGGCTCCTACTAAGTTACTTTAGTTAATTAAGTGTTAAGTTACATTATGTCAATAACGGACATAATATGGACACCATGTGGTTCGGAGGTAACCCCCGAGCCAGATGGTGGACACCAGAGTTGAAGGGAGCCACCAGGCTGAAGAAGAAGTCCTATCGGGCTTGATTAACCCGTGGGACTTCGGTCGCAGCTGATAGGTACCGACAGGCAAAGTGGAACTTGGGCAAAAACTCGGGCAACTCAGGAGGGCAAAGCAGCGCTTTTTTTGTATAGTGCAGGTGGAGCGCTGCTGACTTCAACTGAGAACATTATCGGGTGGTGGAAGGAGTAGTTCGAGGACCTCCTTAATCCCACTAGCATGTGTTCTATGGAGGAGGCAGAGTCTGCGGACGAGGGGGACAATTCGTCTATCTTCAGGGGTGAGGTCACTGAGGCAGTTAAACAAATCCTTGGTGACAGGGTCACTGGGGTAGAAGGGGTTCGGCCCTACCTTTGTCAACATGAGGTCATGCTGAGGTACTTGGTGCACAGAGGTTCCCAACTTTCTGCAGAGTCGATAGCTACAAACCTCCAGACTTAATGTGGCGTTCAGATTACCTCAAAAACGGTGTGTAGAGATCTGCTGCCTGAGATTACCCAGCACAATAGAAAGCATTAGATGCAGCGGTGTAAAGCATGGCGCTACTGGACTCTAGAGAAGTGGAGATTTGTTCTCTGGATTGTCTAATAGACGAGTCTGGGTTTGGCGGTTGTAAGGAAAATAGTACTTTTCTAACTGCACTGCGCCAAGTGTAATGTTTAGGGGAAGGGGAATTATGGTGTTTAGTTGGCCCCTTATTTCCATTGAAAGGAACTCTTAATGCTTCAGCATACCAAGAAGAGTTTGGGGGATGGCCCCTTCCTGATCCAACATGACTGCATAACAGTGTATAAAGCAAGGTGTGGGCTGCACAGAGTCCTAACCTCAACCCATTTAGAAGACCTCGGGGGTGAATTAGAGCACAGACTGTGAGCCAGGCCGTCTTGTCCAATACCAGTGTCTGACCTCACAAATGCTCTTCCAGAAGGATGTTCGAATATTACCATGAACACATCCCTGTACCTTGTGGAAAGCCTTCCCATAGAGTTGAAGCCCTCTACACTGGATTTCCATGTTTGTTTTCATGTTTCAGTAAATTCCTGAACCCAGTTTTTCAAGCAAAATACTAAGAAATGAGGTATGGTGCTATAGTTCTCACAGTGCTGTGTTTTTCAAATAGTACTTGCACTATTACACTGCATCGTTGGTGCTCTGTAACATCCCTTATTAAACTCATTCCACCAAATGGACCAGAAGCAATGATTTGCAGGGTGCTAGCATTACAACTTGCCTCATTCACTGGCACCACTTTGTCTCTATAACAAGCCCAGACTAAAAAAAAAACAAAAGGGAAGACTGCAAATGCAGAGACGAGCACAGTGGAAATCAATGTCAGCTGTCAATGCACTTCAAGGTCACATCGTCCTAGTAAAAAGGAGCATGGATTTCTCTTCACAACTGTTGTCTTAGGCAGAGGCTTAAACTTGATAGAATCTCTATGAATTTGTCTGAACATATTTAAACTGAGTTTGAACTTTTTTTTAAATTTTGCTTTTGCCATTTTACATTAAGTCAAGTTTAAATAACTTAAAAAAAATTAATTTTTTTATATATAGACATAAAACCCAAATTAAAAATGTTTAAGAGATAGTTATACTACTTTATATTGCTGGTGATTTTCTTTTGATTCTGAATAATGTAATCTGTAGCCAATCGGGGAAAAACCCCTAAGCATGTGGCTTATTATTACTCGTTTGTTTTTAGAGGCATCCTTGACTTATGAGTCAGAATCTGAATCACCTTTATTGCCAAGTTGGTACACACACAATTTGTTGTTGAATAATTATAATTTTTGTTGGTGTGGTCCTGTGTCAGTTTAGCTTTTTGAAAAAAAGACAACACTCTTAAGTGGTGGACTGGAATTGCATTGGGGTCTCCTATGGTCAGGCACCTACAGTGGAAAGTTGACTGTATTCACCTTTCAGTATTATCTGGGGGTAAACAAAATACAGCTGACGGCAAAAATCTGACCTGCACTCACATGTTCTCTAAAGTGAGCCAGATATCACTATGAATATATACAAATAAGCATCTTGGAATTATTCCAGATTAGCGTCGTGCCATATCATACCATTCTTTATAAAACTGTTAAAATGTTTAGGTGATTCAGAAAGTGTCATGTCATCCTGTTAGTGATCACATACATTAGTTCTGTAGCGCACACAATGAGACCAGGCATGTCTAACAGCCCGCCGGTCTCGATGATGATTTACTACCTAAAAAGTGAGCAGCTTTAACAACCTGCAACAAAGCATAAATACTGTTTTGTATAAAACACAAAATAATTCAATCATTTCTCTCTTTTCTCCACATTGTAGGGTTTTTACCTTTTAATGTAAAGTGCCTTGAGGCAACTGTTGTTATGATTTGGTGCTTTAACCTCCTGAGAACTGAGGATAAAAAGTTTCTTTCAGTTTACCTTTTTTTGTCCACTACAGACGACATAATGAATAGGCTGGATCTCAAGAGGATATAAATTGAATAAGAACGTCTCCAGGACAGTCTCCAGGAGAGAGGCCATTAACAAGAGGAGAGCTAGACTGGGCTGTAGAAGGGCATCAACCCAGCAGCACGACTCGTATGCGCTCCTGTGTGCGAGGAGAAACCAGGGGTGGCTTTTATAGCCTCAAAATCATATCACATTATTTAAAAAATTGCATTGCTTATATTTATGACAACATAGAAAAATACTGAACATGTTATCTGTGACTGTAGCTTGCACGCACCGACATTTATTACTGCAACCAAAATAAGTAACGTTTATTTATTAAGCGCTCTAATTCTCTATAGGTTTCTTTTGTTCACGTGTGTCTTTAATAAAATTAAAGTTGCAGTGTAAACTGTGCAACTGCATCGACTTATTGTTCCAGGTTTTATTCACACATACAGGAAATGCCATTTAGTTGTTTCTGGGGGCTTTAATTCAAACATCATTTCTAATCTGCACCTGGAGTAAAAGTCAGGATTTATAGTCAGTATTTCATTTGTTCACTATGAGAAGGATACGATCAAACTAGTGCAGCTCTCCATCTCATCAGGGTACTGCTGTATCTGTCTGTCATCATCTCGGGCAAAAATACTTCAAAGTAAAACTCGATCTTTCCATCTGAGTTAGTCGGGACAGTTCGCACATTTCTTTGGCTCGTTAGGCTTTTTTGACACTGCTGCTGTTTGAATGTAACCAGTCCACAATTACAGAGCCAAGAGTATCCTGTTCAACAGCGGCTATAACTCTGAGAATGGGGGAAACTACGTGACCGTTTCTATTGTCAGGTAATATTGTGACCTTATTTCTTTTCTGTCTTCTCACAGGTATAAACATTTCCTGCAGGATCTGACAGCCAACATCAGTGTAGACCACCCAGAGTATGAACAGCTTTTAAGTAAGTGTCTTTGCTGCCGTCTGTAGTAATTAGAGCAGGGCGATATGACCAAAATATTTATCACTATATACATTTGAAAATTTGCGATAACGATATAACTGACGATATAATTGACACGAGACAAAATACTTTACAACTCCTCAACTTTGTTAGTGCAAAAAAAACCCATCAATGTATTTTCACTTAAACAAGCAGCTGTTTTTTTTTATATGCATTAAAGTTATATAAACATTTAACAGAGCAAACAGGTTATACACACACAATACGGTAACATTATGTTGAAGCACAGTACGTATCACTCCGCGAGGCTCCGCCTACGATAGCCGTAATGCTCCGACAATCCATCAAGCGGTGCGGCTTCGTAGCTTAGCAAAGTCGTACTGAAACATTTGACAGATTTTCGAGCGCCGTGCACATAAAATCGTTTCGAGGTCAGTAAACACAACCAGAGTTCATACATAAGGCACACGGGATTATAAGGGGCTCTGTCGACTTTCAGAAAAATCAAAGGATTGATTTTAAGTGCGCCGTATTTTCCAAACAACACGGTAATAACGACGGCCCGCTAGCATGCGCTACCAAAAATAGTGCTTTGTTGTGTATCTGACGGACGAAAGCTAAACCAGTTCCACACCAGTGAAGCTGCAGCATTTTTACAAACCAGTTCGGTTCATCTGTTTCATTCAACGATCCGCTTTCGCTCTTCTCATTCTGCTCGCCATGCTTTTTCCGCCATGTGCGTATGAAAACAAAGGCACTGCGCATGCGCGTTTTACCCATATTCTATCGCCATATTTCATTTTCTTATCGTTGCCCAACATTATACTGGTATCACCATGAACGGTATGATATGGCCCAGCCCCAGTTATTACCAACCAGCTTCTGTTCAGTAGCTGCTGTTGTGTCCTCATGTCTCCATTCTGTCCATTCTGACATGGCCCGGCCCCAGTAGTAATGTTGTCTACAGGTCGACTGTGATTTTTTGTTATAGAACGATGTGTACAAGCTGTAGAAGAAGGTTAATATTACTGAAAAATGTCTTTCTGTTTCACAGTGTGAACATCGTTAGTTTGTCAAACACAGAAGCTCACTCTCACTGCGATTTACATGTGACGAAGCACTTTCTAGAATGTGGAGCTAGTTTCCCATCAGCAGGAAAACAGACTGAGGAGAAAAACCCGAAACAAAACAACCTGTTAAAAACCTTCATCATAGCAGACTGGCTCGTATTCACAGACAGCCCTCATTATTTTATCTGAGCAAAAATAAGAGCAGTGTTTAGCTTTCATTTGTGTTTCTTTGTCGTAGTGCTCGACTAGAAGAGAAATAAAAGGCAAAGCTTGGTATTTGTGTAAGTTCTAGTTTGATGTGGATTTTGACTTAATTAATTGGGAACGGATCAGAGGATATTAAGGGGCGAGCTTTATTAATAAATAAAATCTTCAACATCAACACGAATCTCGATAATGACTATTTTCAAGTCGTCAAATAAACAGCAAATCTGACTCAAGTGCGAATATACACAAAGAATTATTTATGTGTATCACATTAAAATCCCATTGCTGGTGTGCTGCCTTTGCTTACAAATTAAAACAGCCTCCGACTCTAAGATGAGGGAACACTATCTAACTTTACCTCACCATGACTTTTTCCTCTTCTCATTAGATCTGTTTTTAAACTCTGCTGCTTTTCAGTTTTCGTGTGTGTGTGTGTGTGTGGTGTGCTGTGTGTGTGTGTGAGCGTGTGTGTGTGTGTGGCTGCGCTGCGTGTGTGTGTGTGAGCTGTGTGTGGCGTGTGTGTGTGTGTAGTTGGTGGTGTGAGTGTGTGTGTGTGTGTGTGTGTGTGTGTGCGTGTGTGTGTGAGCGTGTGTGGCGTGTGTGTGTGTGTGAGTGTGTGTGTGTCTGTGAGCGTGTGAGTGTGTGAGTGTGTGAGTGTGGGTGGGATGTGTGTGTGTATGTGTCGGAGCCGTTGTACCCGTGCCCCGCACGCCTGTGTGTGGTGTGTCGGTGCTGTTGAGCGTGCCGTACTGAGTGTGTGTGTGTTGTGTGGCAGTGTGTTTGTTTCTGCGTGTGTGTGTGTGTGTGTGTGTGTGTTTGTGGTGTGTGTGTGTCTGTGTGTGTGTCTGTCTGTCTGTGTGTGTGTGCTGTGTGTGCTGTGTGTGTGTGTGGTGTGTGCGTGTCGTGTGTGTGAGCGTGTCTGTGCGTGTGTGTGTGTGTGTGTGTGTGTGTGTGTGTGCGTGTGTGTCTCTCCGTTGTGTGATGTCGTGTGTATGTGTGTGCGTGTATGTGTGTGTGTCTGTGTGTGCGTGTATGTGCGTGTGTGTGCGTGTGTGCGTGTGTGTGTGAGCGCGCGTGTGTGTGAGCGCGTGTGTGTGAGCGCGCGTGTGTGCGTGTGTGTGTGAGCGCGCGTGTGTGGTGAGCGCGTGTGTGTGAGCGCGTGTGTGTGTGTGTGTGTGAGTGCGTGTGTGTGCGCGCGTGTGTGCGTGTGTGTGTGAGCGCGCGTGTGTGCGCGTGCTGTGTGTGTGCGCGTGTGTGTGTGAGTGCGTGTGTGTGTGTGTGTGTGTGAGCGCGTGTGTGTGTGCGTGTGTGTGTGCGTGTCAGCCTGCCTAGATTGTAAAGGGAATTGTTTAAAAAAAGAATCTCAAATAAATTGTGTTGTATGAAATTAAGCAGACTAACAAATATCACACGAGACTTTGTTGTTCATTTCTTGTGTCCATTTGCTTTTCCTGTTCTTTGTTACTTTTTCCTGTGGTGCTCCAGTGTCTGACTCGCATAGTAACCAAGTCTGACCGGACTAGCAGCAGCTCTCCGATCCTCCTGTTGTGGTCAAACACTATCTAAAGAGAAAATAAGTAGAATAAAGAGCTGTGAGGAGTGTGGATGTCTTTAGAGTGTCTAATTCATGTATTATTAATGCATCGTCCAGAACTCAGCACAAAAACATGCTAATTAGTAGGTGTTGTTATTGTAAAGCAGGAAATGAAAAAGATTCCAAACATGCACAACAAAGAGAAAACATCTACATGGATGCCTTGTTTGGTTTATACTTTAATTGTTGTGAAGTTAAGTGAGCCAATTAGGCTGTGATTATTTCAGTGTAGACAAGTTGCCCTGAGGATCAGGTTCATCTGCTGAGGTTCAGCGTTCATAATGAAAGCAGCAAAGTTGAGCTTGAAATAAAAATCCATCTGTTTGTTGTTATTTTGGACATGCTAATGATGTGGTTCTAAATGTTTGCAGCAATTATTATAGCTGGCACACAGTAATTGGATGCTTCTGTCTGTTTTGATGATTTGCTTATTTGTTCTGGGGCAAATATTTTAAAGCTTTGCACAAGAAAGTAAAGCAAGTTTTTTTTTGTTTCTTTTTAACATGCAAGTCAGTTTGTGATGATACGCTCATCCTAGTCATGGACATAACTAAGGTTTAGACATGAGGTCCAGTGAGGTCGAGGTTTTTTCTTTCAGTCTATCATATTTAATGTGTATTTCTGTGTTTTAATAGAAAAAAGAAATGGTGATGCTTATGAAAACAGAACAGCTGTTTAATGTTATTGTACACATACAACTGTAGGCGCACCAACGATGTTACCTGCACATATGTAAATAGTAACACAACAGGTTTAAATAACAGACAAGAGGCTGACACGCACAGCAGAGATGTTTGAAGGGGCAGGTTCAAAGTTAAAAAGGTGCACGTAGAACCAGGCTGTGCTCCTTTTCCTTGGGGCAGGGATAGCTCAGTAGGTAGAGTGGTGGCCCCATGATTGGAAGGTCGGGAGTTCGATTCCCTTGAACAGCTACCCTGAGGTACCCCTGAGCAAGGTACCGTCCCTACACACTGCTCCCCGGGCGCCCAGTGGCTGCCCACTGCTTCACTGAGTGAATGGGTTAAATGCAGAGAGGGATTTTCCCCACGGGGACCAATAAAGTGCACTTTCTTTCTTAACCCAGCTGTGTGACAGATCCACTGCCTCACACAGCTGCTTCTGTCTGAGGGTGTGCCTGTGTCCAGCCTGTCAAACCTGGCGTAGAAGGTGTTATGCTGTCTGGGAGGGGGACATCTCAGGTGTCTGTGGTAGTTGTGGTTCTCCTGTAGTTTGTGAAAGATTTGATTCCCAGACTAGACTTTTGCAACTTCAGGTCAGGTGTAAACACACCTGACTGTGAAGGGCTTTGTCTGGAGCCTTTTGTCATAAACTGAGGCGGATCACTAGGTGATCAGACTTTTCAAAGTGTCTTTGGTTCAGCTGAAAAGGTATTTCTGATGTTGCTGGTAGAGCAGGGCGACCAAAAGTATTTATCACCATATACATTTGAAAATTTGCAATAACGATATGGAAACTGGCCGACATATCCTCAGCATAACCATGTATAATATCCACAGAACTTAAAAAGAGGTTATACACACAGTACGGTAATATTATGTTGAAGCACAGTACGTATCACTCCGCGAGGCTCCGCCTACGATAGCCGTAATGCTCCGACAATCCATCAAGCGGTGCGGCTTCGTAGCTTAGCAAAGTCGTACTGAAACATTTGACAGATTTTTGAGCGCTGTGTACATAAAATTGTTTCCAGGTCAGTAACACAACCAGAGTTCATACATAAGGCACACGGGATTATAAGGACACTGTTGATTTTCAGAGCGCCGTATTTTCCAAACAACACGGTAATAACGACGGCCCGCTAGCATGCGCTACCAAAAATAGTGCTTTGTTGTGTATCTGACGGACGAAAGCTAAACCAGTTCCACACCATAGCTTTTCACATTTTCTAGGACTGCCAAGTTCGTGCATATCAATCATGTTCATGCATTCAATTTTCCAGCTCTTCGCATATCTGTGCGACGCCGCTCTCTCGGATTGTACTTGATTTCCAGCCATGGTGGTGATACATGTTCTCAGTATTATTGGAGCAACGCGCATGAGGTCAGTGTATTTTACACTCACGATATACAGGTCTATTTGATGATTATTTGATGAGTTTTGTATGCCGTGCATTGTTCCGACTGACTATTGTATACTGAGTATTCTATCCTTCAGGCTTGAGTCGCGGTGTGACTGTGGAGGTACTGCGGCCCGCCTCTTAGGTTGCAAGTGCACGCCGAGGTTGGTCCTACGTTTGTTGTTCATTTCTCCTCTGGTGGAGAGGGTCGCACAAAACGTCTAATTGCGGATCTCATGGAGTATGTTTTTTTCTTCCGCATTGATTGCAGGGGGGGTTTAAATAATCTCACCAGCGAAATTTCATGCGATAACAGCGGTCTATTTATAGGACTATGTGTTTTCCTATTCAGTTAATATTCTTCTGGTTGGCGCAGACGAGAGCCGATGGCTAGCTGTTTATATGGTGCATAGCTCCCTCTGTCAAGTCTCTCTCCATTAGCTAGTGTGTGCTTGCAACTTGAGTAGTTGCCATCGACCAGGATGTAGTGGAATGCTAGAGAGTGGTACTTGAAATATGGTATTATATAGTTAATAGCGCTTATATACCAATGCAAATCTAATTATTATTATTATTATTATTATTATTATTAATCATGTCATGTAGCTCCTTTAATGCAGCCTCCTTCTCAGTGCAGGGGGGTATGTACACAACACTCACAGTGATGCATTGCAATTCTAAGGGCAGATACAATGGCGTTAGCTTCAGGGTCAAATGATCTTACAGTGAGTACACCATGATTGTCTGAGGAGGGCAGCTGTTCCTGCACCAGGAGTCTTACCGCCATCCGCAGCACATCGGTCCTTCCTGAAGACTGTGTAGCCGCCTGTTGTTAGTGTCTCGTCAGGTGTCCTTTCCCCCAGCCAGGTTTTGCAGAAACACAATATGGAACAATCCTGAATCTCCTTCTGTGTAGAAATCCAGGCCTGGAGTCGTCCATTATATTTTCCAGGGACTGAACAGTATGACCGGGAGGGTTAGCCTTTCGTTGCTAACCAAAGGGCGGAGCTTCTGGTCAGCAGCTCCCCGAGTGCCTCGCCTCTGCTTCGGCCTGTTGCTAGGAGGGCTCCCAGTCAGGGGCCGGCTTAGCATCGAGTCAGTACAGCCTGATAGCTCAGGGTAGGATTCCAGCAAGGACTGCGCTCTCTCAGTTGTAATAAGGTCGTCCGATCATAGCGAACTTTTGTATAGTGTGTCTTAACACTATACAAGGGTTGGCAGTTCGTCTTGTAATCGGAAGGTTGCCGGTTCGAGCCCCGGCTCCAACAGTGTCGGTCGTTGTGTCCTTGGGCAAGACACTTCACCCGTTGCCTACTGGTGGTGGTCAGAGGGGCCGATGGCGCCAGTGTCCGGCAGCCTCGCCTCTGTCAGTGCGCCCCAGGGTGGCTGTGGCTGCAATGTAGGCGCCCTCCCCAGTGTGTGACTGTGTGTGTGAATGGGTGGATGACTGGGTGGGTGACTGTAGTGTAAAGCGCTTTTAGTCCCTAGGGACCAAGTAAAGCGCTTTACAAATACAGACCATTTACAATTTAACTCGGTACAAAAAAAAGTAACTTGACTCGGAGAGCTCCACAATGTCGCCCTCCGGGGGGCACCACTTTGGTTAATCTATCAAGAACAATGTCTCTCTTCCCCCGCTCTCTCCGATGAGCTGACCACCAAGAGTGGAGTTATACTGGGTGGTTCAATTCCCTGGAATTGTTAGCCTGTTTGCCCATTGATTCACCTTATTGATTCCACTTGAACTACAATCAGCTGATTTCAGTTTGTGTGCCAGAGCACATGCTTTTATTTTCATTGCACAAATGGATAAGAGCACAATGTTACACTGGAAGCTGCATCAGGATAGAAACAACTGCATTATACTGCAAGCAAACCTTTGGCTCGTTGCAAGTATCTGCACAGACAGCCTGCTAACACTAAGCTAGCCAAGAATGTTAAAGCTGAGTGTTCTGCCCTCGCACTTAACTAGGCAGACAGACAACCATCATCCCATGTAGAAAAACCACACCGTTGTTCCTTTCTGGTGGATTTATTTGATTGGATGCATAGCATGGCTTTGTCGAAATACATGAATGGATGAATGGTAAAACTGTAAACAAACACAAAATATCCCATGTGAGCTAATATAAGCAAACATTCTTACAATTAGAAGATGCTATGACCTGTTACTATGCAAAGCAAAGCAGAACGAAACAAGCTAACAAGCTAACGTTAGCGGTTAGCTAGCGCTAATTAGCGTTTAGGCTAATGACTAATAAAGCACATCATTGAGTCAATTTACTTTCTCAAAATATCACAAACAACACATGGCAGTTAGTGCTAAACATTCACTGGTAAAACACAACATTACTGCCAACTTACAGACTGTGCTGGCTTAAGAGGCAGCATAGGCAGGCACAGGAGTAGCAAACTGTCCATCTCCCGTTAGACAGGAAGTAATGAGAAGTAGCACTTCCGGTAGAATGTCAAAATAAAATGAACAGTGTGCCAGAAACGAATAAAGATTGCATGAACTTGTATAACACTACATAACATGAGTGGTGACTCTTAAGGAGCCAGAACACTGAGTGCTGAACCCGGCCCAGCAGCCACAGCCTGAACTTCAGCAGCAATGAGCCTCCATCTCTACCTGTTCGTATTTTCCCAACAACTGTGGCAATTCTAACAAAATCTACTCGTGAAAATTCTCAAGTCTGGACTGTCAAAATGAAAGTAAGCATTGCTTTATGAACTCATAGTGTTAAATTTGAACATGTCTGTTTTTTTCAGTTGATTTCTTTTTTTGGGAGTATGCAGGTCAGGTGTTATGACTGGGAAATACTTACATTTCTATAGGTGTATTATATATGTGTATTTATTAACAGCCGACAGTATGTTTTAAAGTGTTACAGTACTGAACATAGCTGTAAATAGTCAAACTCTGGGATGTGCACATTTCTGACAAAATTCATATTCGAACAGGCTCACACGAAATGAGATGTTCAGTAGGACTTCCCTTTTACTTATTATTTTCTGTGAGGAACCCCACAAATCACCATACTTCATCATCATATTATTATTATAATTATTATTGTGCTTTATGGGCCAAAATGGTCACTCTGGTGCACCTGCCACTAAGACTTCCATCTTTTTTAAAACACTGTAATAAAAAACATTGTGCTGCAGTCATTTTCACACTAATAGCTTTTATTCGTCACTGTTCTTTACGACCATCATTGTAATATTTGCAAATATACCAATGAATGTTTTGCTGTTCTTTGTCAGTCTTTAGATTTATTTTCCAGACCATGAGACATGCGCTACAAAATAATACGCTGTGACTTTGTTTTTACTTTTTTTTAGCCAGACATATTATATTATATAAAGCAGTTACACTGAAAAAACTGTTTGTGTTTTAGGAGCAGTGACTGTCGTGTGTGCGGTGTCCCAGCGTATTGACGACAATACCCGGCACCATGAGAACCACTTGGAGCTTTGCCGTGTGCAGAAACTGCTGAAAGGGAGAAAGATGAAGGTGTTGGCTCCAGGTTAGATCCTCTCATTAAATATTCTTTTGATCTCCTTCAAGAACTACCTCTATACATCTTCTCTGTTGCTGCATCTATTGCATGCATGCATCTATGCCTTCTGGGACACACTGGGGGAAGAGAGGAAAACCAGACCAGCACACATAAACTAAAGGGGAAGTGAGGTCATTAAGAAGAAACTCATCCGTATTGTTCAAAATTCATAAATAGTAGAGCATTATTTAGAAGTGTGCAACAAGTCCAGTCGTGAGATTTCCTCATTACTAAATATTCTACAGCTGTTTGTGGAAAACTGGGAAAGACGGCAACTCGGCCACAAAGTGGGAGGCCGTGTAAGATCACAGCGTCAGAGGAGGCTGCGGCACATTTAGTAGAGGTCACTAAGTTTCAATAAAGTCAGTCACTACAGACCTCCAAACTCCATGTGACCTCTTGGTTTCCATGGCTGAGCAGCTGCATCCAAGCCTTCACTAACCACAATGCAAAGTGTCGTGTGTGGTGGCACGCCGCCACTGGAAGTGGAGATGTGGTCTCTGTGACGGCGTTTCTTTGCCCGGCGATCCGATGGATGAGTCTTGGTTTAGCAGTTGTCAGGGGAATGGTGCTGCTTGCACTGTGCCCAGGATGGTGGAGGTGGGATTTTAGTCTGAGGCCCCTTAGTTCCAGTGACAGGAACTCGTAATGCTGGAGCAAAGACATTTTGGACCATTTCATGCTCCCAACTTTGGGGACAATTTTAAGGATGGCCCCTTCCTGAGCTTGGTGTGGAAAATCTTGACCAGCCGGAGTCGTTCCCCACAGCCTCCTTCATCAGTTTTTGACCTCACAAGTGCTTCTGGAATAATGGTCAACCTTCACAGGTTGCATTCACAGAAGAGTTGAAGCTGTGGGCCGGCATATTAAACTCTTTGGATTAAAGCAAATAATCAGTATAGTGTATGCTACACATCATATCAATAATAATTAGTGAATCATCAGGTTCTGTTCTGTTATTTCCCCACGGCCCTGTTCTTCCAGCCACTCCACGCCCTGCTGGTATTTGTCCTGGATGTCGCTGCTGCCACTGTCCCCCACGACCAGTCATCTCGTGGACTCGAAGTTAAAAAGGAAGCCAAAATGTGTTGTCTGTGGGAGTGTGTGCTGGATTTGAGGAAATACATGTATGCATGATGTCCTGAGTCTGTGTTTGTGTGCTTGGATATGAAGGCGTGTTTTCTGTGAGTATGTGTGGCTGTTTGTGTTGTACAGGCTGGAAGTGGCGGCTGAATAGCAGCTCTTCTTTCTAATGCCGATGTGGGCATTAGTTTCAAAAGCTTTCTCTCATCCAAGTTCTCAGGCCCTCAAAACTCTGCTGTCAGCTTCCTTTCCAGCCAATAAAGCTCTGGTCCCACCAGGCAGACTTCAGAGCTGCAGGAGTACCACCTCGCCCCGCAACCCCACACCGACTCATTCTCCTTCCTCCCCACCAATGCCACCTCTAATGTGGGTAAAAGAAAAGCTGCCTTTGACAGATGAGAAGCATTGGAGCCCCTCAAACATATTAAGTAGCTCTGTAGGAGATGGGGGGGGGGGGTGTTTGTGCGCCACAAAGCCTGAATCAATGGGACATCAGTGCAGCAGGCAGCAGCCTCTTTCCCTGGGAGGCCACAGCTTTATGTCTGCCTGTCTGTTCCTTTATTTTAAAACAAAGATGTCTCACATTTTATATCGTGCTTCACATGGATTCTCCCCTTGTATCCTTTATGTTATTGATAGTTTCACACAAGTTTCCTTATGCATCATCTACCATTTCTCTGTCTGTTTTTTCTAATCACATTACATTATGATTAATACAAGCTTCAATAAATAGAAAGTAAAAGTTATTCTGTACTGAATTGTCTTTAAATTTTTTATATTGAGTTCAATACAACAGCTATTACGTTATATTATACACAGATATTCTAACAAGAAGAGGATTTTTTAATCTCTCAGTTGATGATTAGTTGAACTCAATGGGGAGTTGAGTCAAAGTTAAATCATTTACGTGAAAAAGTGAACGCTCATCTCTGAACCAAGGAGAAGGCTAGATGACATATTTTAACATCTTACGATGCTGCAGCCACCCCCCGCTCTCTGTGAACGGGATTTGTGGCTGTTGATCATGGCAGTGACATTTTGCATATTATTGATCATGAAACTGACCTCATGGCTCATTGTTGGTCAGTGTTTTAGGCAGGCAGATATACCGTGTAAAAGGTTAAGACAAACTGCAGCCAGCTGAGACTGACAAAGTCACTTAAGAGAGTGATGAAATAGTTCTAGCACAGAAAACGCTGTCCATGTATGCATGTGAGCACGAGTGGTTGTCTGTCTCTGTGTTGGACACAAAGAAAATGAGTGGATGGTTGTTAAAAATATGATTTTTCTGCTCATTCTTTATCAATATCCATTGTTATACAAAAATACATGTTATGAGTTATATCTGCGATTTGATTGATTACTTTGATATTTTACTGACTTGACAGCTGTAGTATTGTTCAATCTTTCTACTCTTGCATTCAACAATTCAGTAGATTTCAGTGGAGCTTAGTACAACGCCCCCAACACTGGCCACTCCCAAACAATGAGGATGAAGTACGTGCGGACTCGACACACCCACCAACACTAACCCTGACTTACCCTCAGTCTGCTGGATCTGTTATTCTCCTGGCCTCAGACACATCCGATGAACAGGATACTAGGGTTGGGCGATTGGACAAATTTATCAGCTATCGATGATAGGCTGAGGCTTTCATCGATCGTTATTACAGGGACGATTTATTTATTTGCCCATGAGTAAGTTTGCTAATAATGATGGAGCTAATAGAAGCAGTCAACAGAATTTTTTTTTTTTTTTTTGTGCTGTCAGCATCAACGCGCCGTCATCAAGACTAACGCGATTAACAATGAACCAATTTGTGCGCAGACTGAGTGAAAATCCCTGAAATGTCTGTCAATGCATTTTGTCAGTTTGTCCAAAGTTTGTTACTCTGCGCTCCAGATGAGTCGGCGCGTTAAAGATTTTAATTGCATTTAAGCTGCATAAACGCTGACAGCGTTTTGTTTTTGTTTGTTTGTTTTTTGTGGGGAAATTAGTTCGTCCATGTTCGGACTCCTTCTGTGTTGTAATCGCGCAAATCAGTCCGCGCATGATCACATTGCCCCGCCCATCAAAAAGTCTGCGAATGAGCGAGTATACCACCCATCGTCGATTACTGGACTGACGATTGTCGGTTGGAAAATTTTTACACATCGCCCGACCCTACAGGATACAGTTTCAGCATGAGGGACACTGGTTACACATGACTGCCTAAGCAAGAACACTGACATGTTATGCATTTACTAAGTTGTGCTAAAAGCTTCATAACAGGGTGTGACTACGAAATGGCAAAAAGAATAATCTCATGACCAGTTCTAATTTTACAGGGAGTGCAGAATTATTAGGCAAGTTGTATTTTTGAGGAATAATGTTATTATTGCACAACAACCATGTTCTCAATGAACCCAAAAAACTCATTAATATCAAAGCTGAATGTTTTTGGAAGTAGTTTTTAGTTTGTTTTTAGTTTTAGCTATTTTAGGGGGATATCTGTGTGTGCAGGTGACTATTACTGTGCATAATTATTAGGCAACTTAACAAAAAACAAATATATACCCATTTCAATTATTTATTTTTACCAGTGAAACCAATATAACATCTCCACATTCACAAATATACATTTCTGACATTCAAAAACAAAACAAAAACAAATCAGCGACCAATATAGCCACCTTTCTTTGCAAGGACACTCAAAAGCCTGCCATCCATGGATTCTGTCAGTGTTTTGATCTGTTCACCATCAACATTGGTGCAGCAGCAACCACAGCCTCCCAGACACTGTTCAGAGAGGTGTACTGTTTTCCCTCCTTGTAAATCTCACATTTGATGATGGACCACAGGTTCTCAATGGGGTTCAGATCAGGTGAACAAGGAGGCCATGTCATTAGTTTTTCTTCTTTTATACCCTTTCTTGCAGCCACGCTGTGGAGTACTTGGACGCGTGTGATGGAGCATTGTCCTGCATGAAAATCATGTTTTTCTTGAAGGATGCAGACTTCTTCCTGTACCACTGCTTGAAGAAGGTGTCTTCCAGAAACTGGCAGTAGGACTGGGAGTTGAGCTTGACTCCATCCTCAACCCGAAAAGGCCCCACAAGCTCATCTTTGATGATACCAGCCCAAACCAGTACTCCACCTCCACCTTGCTGGCGTCTGAGTCGGACTGGAGCTCTCTGCCCTTTACCAATCCAGCCACGGGCCCATCCATCTGGCCCATCAAGACTCACTCTCATTTCATCAGTCCATAAAACCTTAGAAAAACCAGTCTTGAGATATTTCTTGGCCCAGTCTTGACGTTTCAGCTTGTGTGTCTTGTTCAGTGGTGGTCGTCTTTCAGCCTTTCTTACCTTGGCCATGTCTCTGAGTATTGCACACCTTGTGCTTTTGGGCACTCCAGTGATGTTGCAGCTCTGAAATATGGCCAAACTGGTGGCAAGTGGCATCTTGGCAGCTGCACGCTTGACTTTTCTCAGTTCATGGGCAGTTATTTTGCGCCTTGGTTTTTCCACACGCTTCTTGCGACCCTGTTGACTATTTTGAATGAAACGCTTGATTGTTCGATGATCACGCTTCAGAAGCTTTGCAATTTTGAGACTGCTGCATCCCTCTGCAAGATATCTCACTATTTTTGACTTTTCTGAGCCTGTCAAGTCCTTCTTTTGACCCATTTTGCCAAAGGAAAGGACGTTGCCTAATAATTATGCACACCTGATATAGGGTGTTGATGTCATTAGACCACACCCCTTCTCATTACAGAGATGCACATCACCTAATATGCTTAATTGGTAGTAGGCTTTCGAGCCTATACAGCTTGGAGTAAGACAACATGCATGAAGAGGATGATGTGGACAAAATACTCATTTGCCTAATAATTCTGCACTGCCTGTACGTGAAACAGGTCAACTTCTTCAATTCAATTTTTTAATATAGCGCCAAGTCACAACAACAGTCACCTCAGTGCTTTATGTTTTCAGATCCTACAATAATACTTTGAACACTAAGAGTCAGGCCGAGCCAAGCTGGGCCAAGTGGCTGCTTGTGGAAAAGACGCGTTAGAACAGGTGCAGGAAGGACAACTGCCAGGAAGACTCCACCCCAAGGTGGGGCGAGAATGTCAAGCCAGCCTGGCAGATCGATCCGCGAATGATTATGATTGATGATTATAAGGGACAAAGAAGAAGAACCAAGAACAACAAACCCCAGCCCCAAAATGCCGAACCCTGCCAATTCTCTGCTTATGGCTGCTGGAAAATAGACCTGTACCGTCCACTTTACCACATGGAGAAAGAGTCCAGCATCTGTGAGTTCATTTATTTTAGAGATCTGAGGCGGAGAATGAGTCTATTTTGCTGATACATATTAAAGGGATTATTTGCACTAGAACAAATATTTTGGGAGAAAGACCTGGGCTGGTTTGATATGTGGGTTTTTATTTTTCCCTCCAGAGCACGTTTGTTCTTGTCCTTCTTTGCTCTTTCTTCTTTTTTCTTAGATTGTTTTCTGAGTGAATGCTGCTAAAGTCAGTTATTGTTTTTGTAATCAGCTGTTTCCGTTTGTTTTAATTCTGCTGATTTTCTTTGTTAAACTTATTAAAATGATTCTATTGTTTTCAGTTATGTTATGTATAAGATTTTATTTAAATTAGATTTAATCTCCAGGCTTCACACAACACCACAAAGTGTCATAGCATGTGTCTTGACTGTTTTTCTGTTTGAGAGGCATTTTAAAAGCAATTTGATCCCCACTCGGCCCAGCCACTTAATCTCACTGGACTTGTCTGTAGCTGAAAATGTCCTCTCCGAGCCCCAGAGGCACAGCTTCGGCCACTCGGGCTCACTGCAATCACAGGCTATTTGCTCGGGCAATTACAAAAACGCCCTGGACTCAGGATAAATTTTAATCTTATATATCCAAATGTCAGCCCTGCTTGCTTATTAGCTATCAGCATCCTGCTGCCAATCACAGTGAAAGAGATGAGTTTTCCTCAGCGACCACACCGAAATACTAGAAATTACTTCTTCTCGTTGTAGAAGGCAAAATATTGTTGTAGTTTTCTTTCTAAGATTACGGGGTCTTTACACTACAATATAAAGTGCCTTGAATTTCAATTTCAGTTTATCTACTTAAGAGGGACAATGCAGTTTAACATGGTTCCAATAGCATGAAATTGATGTGCTGCACAGAGTTTGAGGCTTCAAGTGACGGTTGTTGTGATTGGCACTATATACATGCAATTGAATCGAAATGGGGATAACGTCACAGTGTTCAAAGATCACTAAATGTTTGACAAAGTAGTATTTATTATTATTTTTATTATTAAAAGTAGTCAGAGCAGTTTTAATGGATGTCACAGAGTAAAACCAGTGGTGGGCAATTATTTTTCCAAGTGGCCGTATGAGAAACTGGGCCTGTTATGAACAGCTGCACCAATAAATACTAATAAACTCCTCCTGGTAACACAATGAGCCAATGAAGCTGTGAAAAAGACTCAGTAAAAACATTTATTTTTACTATTTTCAGTGTTTTATCAGGATATAATCAACATTCTGAAAAACAATTGGAAACTAAATGTGGATGTGAGAAGTCTGAAAGTGTTTTTGCTGTCTTGCTTGTAGTTTAACTTCTTCATCAGCAGCTTTTCAGTTTATTTGGTTTTTAGGAAGAAATCTAGTGTGCTTTACCTTTGAGTTTATTACAGGTTCAGTGTCTGAGGTGGAAATAAAGAGGATGACACGAGAGAGGATCTGTATGTGGACTCGTTCACCCCTGAGAATATTTGTGAATCCAAATATTGCCAACATCTCAGTAACACTACCACTACACTACTGCAATAGAGTTCAAAATGCAAAAACTCTGTGATTGTGTGAGCAAGCACTTTGGCGACAGCGGGAAGGAAAAACTCCCTTTTAACAGGAAGAAACCTCCGGCAGAACCAGGCTCAGGGAGGGGCGGGGCCATCTGCTGCGACTGGTTGGGGCAGAGCACATGGCCCCGCCCCTCCCGTCCAACATGTTTTTCCATTACAGATTTGGACGCCCATGATTGTAACACCTTAGTGTATATTAGAATGGCAAAGGCCACCAAATTAGCCTCTGATGGAGAGTTTTTAAGAATAGTTTACTGGTTTTTGTTATTTTATGTGAAATCACAAAGTTGGTTTTGACGTCATCGCTGGGTGGTAAGCACATTGGTAAGCAAAGGTTCAGATGTCTGTTCTCGGTCTGCGTTGGTCAGCTTTGTGTATTTCGCTGCATGTTTAGTTCATAATAGCGATTCAGATTTCTTGTGCGCTGTCCATCTCTTTAGCTGGTTGACCCCAGGTGTTTAAACTGGTCTAGTTTCTCTGCCTCTCTTCTTGCATGCCTGTTGTTAAACCCGTCTCCCCGTTCACACACATATTCTGTCTTGCTGCTTCTGACTTTCATTCCTCTTCTCTTCAGAGCAAACCTCCACATCTTCTGCTCCCTACAGTCTCATCTGCAGTTGTCATAGGCCACTAAGACTCCTGCCTGACCTCATCTGCCAATCCGTGCATCGCCACTGCAAACAGACCCAGAGTAGATCCCTGATGTAATCTCGCCCCACGTTGAACCCGGCTGTCTCAACTCCTCCTTGAGCTTTTGCCATTTAATCCTCGACTCCGCCTTCACTTCCTCTTCTTGATTTCTGCAGTCATCCTAAAAACGTCCGGTGCTGTCTACCTGCCACCACTTTCTAGTCTTATATCTCTCTCAGTTTGGCCTTTCTGCATAAGATATAATCCACCTTTGTGCACCTCCCTTTGCTGTTATATGTCACCTATGGTCTTCCCGCTTCTTAAAATGTCTTGACCACAAGTATTTCCATCCTTTTCAAAAATCCATTACCATGTAATCCATGTCCTTGTCCTGCATTTCTCTCCTTAGCACCGTGGCCACCCAACACCTGATTATCACCTCTGTTCCCTTTATCTACATGTCCACTGAAGTCTGCTACTCTGACAGCCAGCCTGAGAGCCACATACACTGACAACATTCAAAATCAGCTTTGATTTCCACCTTCAAAGTGATCCTGACTATTTGCATACTGTTCTTTTAAGATGAACCCTACACGTGCTCTCTGCACCATGCTGGAACAGCTTGAATCCACCTCGCTTCCATGTAGTCTCCTGCATGCACATATATCTGCCTTCTTTCTCTCCGTCTTGTAGGCAGGCTTTAAAGTCCCTACTCGCACCTCCACACTCCTGCCTTTCTTCTCTCCTGCCGCCTCCTGACACACCTTTCCCCCTGCCTCTTTCTTTGTCTTTGGCCAGCGGTAACAAGTTTCAGCACCCTGTTGGCCAACAGCACCCAGGGCCTGACAGATCCACTCATTCTGGATGAATGTGATGTAACCCTCCCAATTTATCCAGCCTTGAGACCTGCATTAAGAGTATGCTGGCATGTGGCCCTCTTATGGCTCCGTTAATGAATACATGTTTATGTTTAAAGTTCGCATTGACCCCGTGCAAACTGGTCATGGACAACCAAAGGGCCAAATGTGACCTGCAGGCTGTCCAGTGTCCACGTCTGGACTAAATGCATATTGAGTATCTAATGATGGATGTATATATGTGTATAATATTGTTTTCTGTTTGTTCTTGCTCCTGTCACAGGGAGGTGGTACATTTGCGAGGGCTGGCTGAAGGTGGTCCCACCAAAGGCTGCAGAGGCCAAGCCTAAGATGTTCTTCCTGTTCTCCGACATGCTGCTACAGGTCAAGCGTTGCAGCTCCCTGCATTCCACCAGTGGACAGAAGTTTACTGCCGAGCATGCCTATCCACTGCAGGACTGCACCGTAGAGAAGGTGTTTGGCCACACACGGAGCCAGGGAGGCCTGCTCAGTGTAAGTGTCTGCCAGCTACTAGTCCCTGAAAAACCAGCAGAGAGGGCTCAGCCTCAACGGTTGTATGAACGGTATCTTCTTGCAGTTAGAGCTGTAAGGATTATGGAAAACGACACAACGTTTTTAATGTTGCCTGTTTACATTATTACAATTAAGATGAGATTGAAGTTCAGACTTTCAGCTTTAACAAAAACTACAACCTTACCTGTTCAGGTGTTACAGTCATCACATATTACAGATACAGTCCCCATTTTTCAAAACACTCGTTTTTAACAAGGTATAAAGTGATGATATTAATATGAACCACTCCCCCATTACTATGTAAATCCTCACTGTCATCATGATGGTGGCTGTGAGCGTTATGGAAACATCGTTCTGTGTGTTTCTTCTCTGTGTGTGCGCCCTGCACTGTTTCCATCTTCCAAATGTTGGGAAAAGCTGAACTTGGAAAGAAAACTGTCTGTTTTCTTGGGCAGGTGGGGAGACATCTGTTCACTGATTTCAGGGTACACATGAGTGACTCTTGAGCGGAGCATTATTTAATTTCCACTTTTGACGCATGTAGCTTTGATTTGTCTTACTTAAAGTTCCTCGATGATGAGTGGTGTAACGTGTAAAAATAAGAAGTTTGCTGAATGTTTTCAAGCCTCGCTCCGTTAAATGTCATTTAGTCCTGCGTGTTGGAGGAGACCTGTGCTCCTCTTCCTCTCCTCCCTAATCACCTCTAATCCTTGTTGAAGTGGCCCAAAAGTTGAACTTTGAATGTGTTTCTCCGCTCGGTCCATCCATCGTGCAGGTCTCTGTACAGCTGCTTGCTGACAAATTGTGTCTAAATGATGTAGCTGCTGTCATGAAACATTCAAAGGAAGGAGTTGCGCGTCATTGAGCAAGGAACCAAAGCGTTTATGCAGCGAGTGTTTAGTGCCAGTGCTGCATGGTATCAATATTCATTTCAGCTGATAGGCTCTGGCTCAAAGAGCTCTTTATGCAGCGCTGCTAATGTGCTTCCCTGTGATCCAGAGCAGCCATGTCTGATGATGGTGCTGTCCACTGCTGTCTGCTCAGCTTGTCAGAAGCATTTTTGCATGTTTTCTGTCAGTAAAGCTCATTTGTCACAGAGCTGGTAGCATACAGTTGGCTGATAGATCTACAACATAGAAACCAATAAAACCCGACCGGGGACGTCAAACGTAAGTCCACGGGCTGGATGTGGATACAGTTATATCCGGCCGCGAGATGATTTCACACAGCAGTTATTAATGGGCCGTCGGTACGTGGAAGTCAAACCTTCAGCCCTGTGGGACTTTATTTTAATGGTCACGCCACGCGGCCAATCGCAGACTGGGATCGTACCATTATGTCAAAGAAGGAAAGGGGTCAGACGTTCCAAAGACAGCAGGTGCAGTGGTACGGGCCAGGTACGCAGAGAGACGCTGAGCCGGATTTAAATGCAAACCTCAAACGAGCAGCGTGTGGCTGCATTTCAATGATACTGGAGACTGAAAGGATGAGTGCAGAATGTATAAAAGTAGGAGCTGGATAAACCCGTGATACACGTTTTAGTTTTAGCCATTTTCCACCGCGGAGGACAAAAAGTTCCACATCTGTACAGACCTCATGTGTTCTCCACAGTAGAAGTAACATGAACAAAAAATCACCTTCTTGAAAGAGACTCAAATGTACAGATTAGTACTGAAAATTACAGAAAATAAACTAAATACAGTTTCAACTACAGTTTAAAAAACCTGTAACTTTCTGTCATTTTCACATTTTTATTTCTCACGTCCAAAGAGTCGTGCAGACAGATTCTCTCTTTGTCACAGCAGCTGTTTCTTCATCATCAGTGTGTGACTTCATCTGCACAGAAAGCATCAGTGGTCCAGCGGGCTGTTTGTGGCCCACGGTGGAAAATGAGTTTGACACTCCTGAGCCAGACAAAAAAGATAACCAGTTTACTTCTTTATGGGGGGGATCCTCTTTGGTTACCTTTGTTATCTGTGATCATGTGATCATCCACCTAACACACTGTTTACTGCAACAGCTACACCCTTCTTGCACATGTTCTCTTTCAGCTATTTATTAATAAGTGACTTTTATGAAAAATCATTTCCCCTGGGGATCAATAAAGTATTCTGATCGTATCAGTAAAGGTGCGGGCATCTCAGGTTTCATTTATTTATAGAGTAAATGGAGCTGTTGTCAGGGCTCAGCCAACAGGCCATCAGGTTTTAAACTGAGTGTATCAAATGTTAAAAATGGGAAAACATCCGTCAAACACAACAAGACGGGCAAAAAGTCTGTACAGATGATTAACTGTGAGATATGTCCGCACCTTTCATGCTTCATTTATCACGTGGATCATCATGGACATTTTCATAGGTTGGTTAAAAAATGCATTTACTTTTATTAATAAACGTTTACGTTTTAAAATGGTTAATAAACACTTATTTTACATCCAAGAGGCCTGGCAAACGAGTTTATATCATAAACACGATCCAATGAAAAATAAAGAGGAAAATAACCAGTCGGGTGATTCTGATCAATATCACGTATTGATTCTCGCTGCGTTCTCATTGGCTCCTCTCTGAGAGTCACCAGCATAGCAGGACACACAGTAACTGGTTACGTTTGTGCACGTTGGAGCTGTTTTTACAGAGAAACCTTTTCTTAAAAGTAATGCAGTAGAAAGTAATGAGTTACACTACTTTTACCTAAAATACGTTGTCTAATAATTACAGTTTTTATGTAACAGTTCAGCTTTTCAGTGAAGCCTGCAGCTTTAGAACAATCTGAACCTGTAGGCTACAGAATCCGTGTCCTAATGAGGACACGCGTGATCTTTTTCTCAGTCTTTAGCTGTGAACACAAAGCCGACCGCACACAGAGACTTTAAAGTGATGCCACAGTGATGCTACTTGAGCAATAAGAACAGGTGGACAGGGAGGCTGCAGCCTGACTGCTCGCCTGTTTCACTGTTGGAGGTCTGCATTCAGCTTCAACATCACTCTGGATTCTCGGTTTGTGCAAAGCACTGAAGTTGTGTTCGTTGTGTGTTCGTTGTGTGTGCAATAAAAACAAAAGTTTGGTCCATATTCACGCTGCCATATTTTAGACTGCGTGACTATTTTCTTCCAGCAAACAAACTGAAATCAGCTGGAATCAATGAGCTAAATTGATAGGCTAAGGCGAGCAGGCTAACGATTCCAACTTGATGGCCTACTGGGAACCAGTTCTCAGTTCCATCCCGACTAACCAGACTATGTACAAGTACACAGCAGCGCTCAGTTAGTCGGCAGTATGAAGCCTTATATTTGGATGTGTTGTTTCAGGACGTTGAGCCAGTTCATTCGTCTTCTCAGAAATCCTGATTCAGTGACGTCTAGAAAGAAAACAGCATTTTTTCTAAATACTACTTTAATGCTCGTTACTTGTAGTTTTTTATATTTTGTGAAAGTGTGCAGTGGAAATGATCAAATATGCACACAGAGCAGAGTTGCAGTGACGTGACGGCTGTGTGACGGATTGTCGTGACCAGGCCAGGCTTCAGTTAAAAGCCCTGAGAATGAAAATCATCCTTCAACAGACTGATGAAAAGGAAACTGATGGAGAGATTACACTCACAGCTGTGTTACAGGGAGTGCGTGTGTGTTTTAAGGACTGAGGAGTGCAGTGATGGGCGCCTGCTGTTACCTCAGTTGCTGGATCAGATTAAGCTACAGATCCATCTCCTCTGGGCCTCCAGTAAATACGTCTTCCTCCAGCCTGTCGCCGCTCTGTGACCGTCCCGTTGCATGTTATCTAATGGCAGAAATGGCATTTCATTAGCCTCTTATACCACGGAGGCCCAAGCGCATACTCGATAGCGTTGCGCGTAATTCCTCATAAGGACACATTATTGATCCCTGCGTGAACTCGAGGAAAAAGACTGTCAGCACACTGCGGCCCTCCTTATACGGGGCCATGAAGTATTAAAGTCAAATTAAATTTGACAGCTGTAAATGTCATGGCAATCTATATGCTAAGTATTGGAAAAAACAAAAAAACCTCAAACGTTTTATTAAAATTTCCAGTGCCCCCTCCCCCGTTGGGTCTTATTTGTGGCTCGACGTCCATTTTTCTCTTCGTTTTGTGTCTTTTCCTTCTGAATGCGTCGGCTTTCTGTATCCTCTCGCCTCTGCTCCCTTCCTGCTGCTAATATCCTCTCATTACTTGAATATTTTCGCACATCCCTGACAGATTCTCTTTGATGTATAAATAATCAAGCTAAATTATGTGCAGTGATGAGGCGCTGCTGTATTATACAAAGTCATTTCTACCTAAGAGGGTCAGATTTCCTGACAAATTCCTAATTATGACATCTCAACAGAAGTGGAATCTATTTGTGCAGAAGCAACCACCCCTCCCTAAGCAGCGAGTGCCTAATATCATGCAGCACTTAGTCCGGCCCCTTTCACTGAACTTGGTGCTTTTGATGATGGTGCGTTTGAAGTCTTAATGTCTAATAAGAGACTATCGTCATTGTCTGATGAGCTGTAATCGCCTCCGTACTGGCTGAAGTTGGATATATCAGAGCTCAACAAGCTACTAGTCTCTGCAGATAAATTTTAAAGGCTCTTTAAGGTGTAATTGTGATCTTTAAGCAGTTTTCCTGATGTAACTGTGCTGCTCTGAAAGCACCTTTTGTTTGGGTTTAGATTTGTTCAGCATGTACATCCTGAAGCTGGACTGAGTAACGTGAACAAGAGAACTGATAACTGACTCATATAAAGTCCTGTCAGAAGAGAGAAGTCCAAAAGAGATATGAAGACACCGTCCAGAACAATGCAGTGTTCTCTAAATCGGTTGTTAGATTTTGTTAGTTTAATTGATGCCTGGATTTTATACTCAGTCAGGATTTAAAAGCAGCAGCAGTTTTCTTTGTGTGGAGCTGATCTGGAGACAGTTTTAGCTGGTTTGTGTTGACCCCTATAGCTTTTATTGTGCAACTGCAGCCCAGTGTGCAGCTTTTATGGTTCATCTGCCCGCAGCAAGTCTGTAATGCAAGAACTGCTGTGATTGTACACAGTGCTGTGGAGTGACATCACTCTCTGATTTGTTCCAGAAAAGATTTTAATCATAAATTTTAATAAAGTTGGTGAAATCGAAGAAGGTTTCCCAAAAACACCAGCACAGTTTTTCTTGTAGTGCGTTATTGTTCCATTGTTTTACATTTCAGGGTTTTTTGCTGTAAACTGGTTCTGATTGGCCGCACAGCTTATTACATCATGACTGAGAAGAAGTTCTTATCACATGCAGCTCGTCTTCATCAAGTATTAGAACCAGCTGGCAGCACATTAGGACCAACAGCTACTGTAAACCCATGCCTTGCTCAACAGCACAATGACGGGCAGCGGTTCGTCCTTCTTCCCATTTCATCGAGATCTGATTTAGTTTTATCTGAACTGGTTCCCAGTCAGATTTTGAAATCATAGTTGGATTTGAGGCTCGTAGTTGGTGTATTGTAAAGAGTAAAGCCACCGAGGTAGAGGAGGTCACCTGCTGATTGGCAGGTTGGCGGTTCGATCCCCGTCTGGTTCAGTCTGCATAGCATTAACCCCACGTTGCTCTCTGAAAAAAAGTGCCTATGTGAGGCGAGTTGTACAATTGCTTGTGTAGAGGAGAAAAGCACCATATAAGAACTCGTCCATTTACCATGCTTCATCTCTTCACAGCTGACCTTCCCCAGAGCCACTCTGCTACTGATGTCCAGCAACCAGGAGAACCTCAACGACTGGTACCAAAGCCTGAGTTCAGCTATCAGGTAAACTGATATCTGCTCTGTTTGTGTGTCTGACCTGCAAGAAACCTCATGGACCTGCAAGTTACCCTGATATAAGTAACATTAACCATGACAGCCCTGCTCTAGAGTGAAGCGAAACCCGGCTCTTACATTTAACACAAAGTCTTGCAGTCTGTCCTTTGAATGAGTAGTTTTCATAACTGCTCCTAGTCACAGTTTATCAGAGGAACTTAGCACAGTTGCACTTCGGTTTATAATGAGCAGATAACATTTGATTGTACAGGTGTGGAACGATTCTTTAACACAGGCTGTTTTGGTACCTCAGGCCTGCCCGGCTCTCAGACAGCGTCTTGGCATTAATCAGTCAGACCTTAGTAATTCTACTCCCAGCCTACCTGGCCCCAGCTCCCTGGAGGAGGACTTGGGTCAGCCCTGCTATGTGGAGCCACTGGATATGGTGAGGGCCCTGACCTCGGTGTGCCCAGCCAGGCTAATTAGTTTATCACTTTGTCAGTTAGGAGAGAGGGGAGGCTGTCAAAGAGCTCAGACCAGGCAGCAGATGGGGGCCTAGACAGGCTGTCAGCTCTAAACTCCAGGCAGTGTAATTAGCTGTGGGGGAAGACGGAGGAGAGGACCGGCTGAGAGGACCAGGGGTCAACAGCACTCACACCACTGGGGAGCAGTGTAAGGCTGAAGGGTGTGTGTGCTTGTCCGTACGTAACTGAATTATTGATTTAATAAAGACTGCAGGGTATCGTGACTGACATCTCCGAGGCTTTTGGATATCGCTCTAAGTGATGACCAAAAAAGTGTTTAATGCTGTTAAGTTTCATTAGTTTTGTGTTTATTTTTAATTAATTCATTTTCATTTTCTCTGTGTTTCTGATGGAAAACACCACATTTCCACTCATACTGCTTAGCTGTGATTTCATGATTTTAATCACTAGTAGCTGTAGAAAATATTTTTTTGTGTGTATCTAATTTTTCTTTTTATCAACAGCTAATAAAACACCAAAACCATGTTTTGCTGTCCTGATGGCTGTTACACACCTAGCCCCTTAATGCTAACCATGACAAATAGTTAGTAGTTTAGATTTTTGACCTACAGTGCAGTCAAGGTTAATGTCCTCACTACGTATCTAAAACCTGACCAAGCACACAGTCACATTTGTGTAGCTTCTTAGAAGGCTTAACCTAAAACACTGTGACAAAGTGCGTAATCCTTAGGCTGATGTCACAACTGGAAAGATTTGCTTGCCCCATAGGGATGTATAATGCATCATCCCAAGGGTGAACTCAATTACTACCATTACTACTAATTGCAAGGTCAGTGGTTCAGTCACTGGCTGCTCCACTTCACATGTTGAAGTGTCCTAGAACACTTTAGGTGTGAACGTGTGTGTGGATGTGTGGATGACTGGATATGTAAAGCGCTATATGAATACAGGCCATTTTAAAGCGAGATACTTGAGCCCAAGTTGGCCCTGAAACGTCTGTTTGGAGTGTGTGTGCTGCAACGTGAGGGACAGTGTAACAGAGACTTTGTCCATGCAGCGATGCTGATGGATGTCAGTGTTCCTGATCACGCTTTATAAGAAACTTGATTATGTTTGTGGTCTGAGGCATATTTAGTAACCACTGATCCTGTTTTTTTATATTTACAACATGAGTTCCCGGTGGTGATTTCACAAGGTCATTTTACGTATTTTAAAGTTTGCAGTGAAATCAGCTGAGAGGAGGAGGCCTTCTTTCAGAGTTCTGTACGAACTGATAACGTTCTGAGACCAAAGACTACGACTAAAATATTTATGTCGTTTTCAGCTCTTTGTCATATACAGGAAACAACGGCACATTACTACCAGTGCTAAATCCTTTGGCTCAGACCTGCTAGTAATGTGTCATTGTTACCTGTTAATCTGATGAGTAAGAGGGCAGCAAACCACTAGTTACAGATAAAATGATACCAATGAGGACCAGCCAGCCAGAGAATATAAAGTACAATGGTGTGGTGATGGTTTCCAGTTGGTAATAAATCTTGGTGTCCTGTGATAAACAGAATCCAGACGATGGAGCGAATGAGCAGAAGCGTTCATTTAATTACATCCAGGATTCACCTCAAAGACGAACACGATTGATTTCAGAAAAAGAAGCCCAACTTCAGTCACTGTGTGGCTTAAAGGAAAGTTTACCATCAATCACAATACCTGAATATCTGGATGAGGCCACAGTTTCAATAGAAAGAGAAGGAAGTGCTGCTGACACCCTCTTCCTGTTTGAGACCAACGTGACCTTTATTTTTTTCTGCATTTAAAATCACGTTGAGCTGACCCAGCTGTGACTGTATGCAATCAAAAGCTAGCTGTTGGAAAACCATGTCAGTTGTACGAGCACCACAGTAAATAATCGTGTCATCTGTGTGATAATGGAGAGATGCTTTCAGATTTTGTCCCAAGCCATGAAGATAAATAGTGTAGGCCCCAGGAGAGAACCCTGCAGCACTCCGTCAGTGTTACTGAGTTAAATAAGAAGACGAAACAACAAAACATTTGTTGAAACAACGAGCGTTTCACTTTCGTCTGACTCAGGACTCTTTGTCTTCTTCTTTGATTCCTAGCTGGCGTTAGGCCTGGATCGGCTCCTAAGCCCATGCGCCGCAGTGGGTGCCAATGGTTGTTGAATTTCCTTCACAACTCGTTTCCATGCGTGGAGATCGTTGGCGATTTCTGATGTTACCTTCGACCTGTTTTAGCCATGTTTTTCGCCATTCGTTGGATTCTCCGCTGTGTGGGACGTTTATGCCAGAGAAGTTGGTGTCGTAGTCGGCTCGTGTCCATTCGACACACATGGCCAAACCATCACAATCGGAGTTGTTGAATTCCTCGATTGGCAGTTGGTTGTCACGTCTCCGTCTTGAAGTGATTCTCGTAATATCTGCCGAAGGCAACGCATCTGGAAAACTTCGAGCTTGTTGAGGTCTGCTTTAAGCAATGTCCACGTTTCTGATCCATAGAGTAGAATCGGCAGGATCAACGTCTGGAAAAGGCGGATTTTGGTCGAGATGGAAATATTGGTTCACTTCCACAAGCACCACTTTAAAAAAGCGGAAGTTGACCTATTTGAGTGTGCATCTCCGCCATGGACGCGACTTTCTTCTGCGCGATCAGTGAGCCCAGCTATTTGAACGGCTAAGCTTGCTCTATCTGGATGTCGTCAGGTGGACAATGAAAACATAGTCAGTCGGTGTTGGATACAGACTTTCTCACCTGGTCCTTTTCATGTCGGACAGTCAGAACTGAACCAGGGGCTTCTTAGTGAGGGGGGACAAATCATCAGAACCAGAGTGTTGCATGGAAAAAAGACCACAGTGTCAAACTGGTTGTAAACTGTTTACTGGATGCCATTAAATGGTGCAATTAAAAAATTAAATTAGTAAGTTGCTGCCTGTTTTGTTTTGTACAGGAAGCAGAATTCTAAGCAGACGGCGATCTATCAAAGAGACGAGCTGTGCCGCAGACCTCTGCGCTCTGCCGCCGATAGCCACAACACTGCCAACGCCGCCAGCAGAAAGAGAAACATGGTGAGTGTGTCTTTAAGCTACCAAACAGATTTTCAGGTCACTTTAACTGTTGTTGATCTTTGTGGTGGGAGAGCATTGATCATGTGTTCTGCTGCTCGGCCTTAGATAGTAGTTCTGTCTTTACTTTCCATGAATGTTACTTGAAGAAAGTTAAACTCCATTATTTTAATTTCTGTGGTTGACCAGCAGTGGATACTTAGTGGTAACATGCTTGTATACTGAGAGCAAAACTGGTGGATTGGTCCCGGTCCCCACAGCATTATCATCACAGGCTCAAGACAGCCTCGCATCAAGTCTTTGTTGTTGCTCTCTGTGCTTAACGGTTTTTGTGTCCAGCTTGGATTCACAGTCTTCCTGCCGTGTCAGATTCAGCCTCAGACGGGGCTGAGTCTAAATGAACGAGTCTTAAATCTTTTCTGAATTTTACCAAGAGTTTACACATTTATGACAACCAGATAGAAATGTTGATGAAGCTCACATCACGAACAGGCACAAGAAAAATGGTATAAATGTTTGGGAATGAGCTGGTGTTCTGCATGAATCTGTCATAAAACATCGGCTTTAATGACAACGCTACCACGAGTAGTAGACAGCATTTAGGACATGAAGTTTGGCCGATGCATTTAAAGCTGTTGGTAATTCTCAGCATTTACTTGCTGCCCCTTTAAATAAATGAACAGTCACAGCAGTGACAATCACAGTCATGCCTGCCTCTGATCTTAGTGCGTCCCCTTTGTCATTTATTTGAATACGTTTAAAATGAATCATTAAACCTTCCATTCATGTGCACCAATCACCACACATCACGTCCACGCCCACACGGCGTTTTGAAGCAAGTGTAACACTGCCAGCTTCTCACAGATGTGAGTCCACTATGGAAAAGAATGAAAGAGAAGGAACGTGAAACTATAAAAGTCAACGTTTTTGCGAAGGAGGGGCCATCTTTTGGTGACACGCTGCAACTGAGTGTAAGCGGCGTGTATACAGTGGAAACGCCCAGCGGCTGGGAGCTGACCCACAGCTCGCCCACAGCTGGCCCACAGCTGGCCCACAGCTGGCAGGAGCGGCAGCTCTAAGTGGACGTATACGAAGCAGAATTTCGTTGATGTTTAGTCTCTTAACTCGTCTACCTCGTCCAGCTTCTACTGAGCTCTGCCGACTGCCACATCATCATCATCATTGATTATTATGTGAATTCATTTTACGTTTAATAATAACAAACCACAGCATCACGATGTTTTCACTAATATGTTTTTGGTTAAATGTGTTGTTCAAAATAAAACATGAATAAAATGTGACTACTTTCAAAGTTTAAATATTAATCCTGATATTTTCAAATGGTGATGATTAATTAATAAATGAGTGATATTTCTTCTTAAGCTCAAATCTTGATTGCTGCCTGTTTAGTCATTTTTACATCACACAAGTTTGCAGCTACAAATTTAAGCTCCTGTCTTCTGTTTGTTCCTCTGCTGCTTATTTCAGCTCACTGCTGAGATCAGTGAGCTTCCTCAGGAGCCTCCAGTTGAGCAGGAGTACAGCGCCCCCAAGAGGATGAAGCCGTCTGATGCTTCAGAGCAGAGGTGGGATGGTTTTTTTCAGTAGTACACGGACGACGACAACAACACTTTTATCTGTACACACCGCCTCAGTAGCTTTTACAACAAAATATCAATATGATTGAAAAGCAGACTTTCAGTTTTATTTCAGTGTTTTGAACAAAAGTGTAATTACACTAATTTAGTATTTACAGACTGATGGAAAGGCGGGGCCTGTTCCCTTGTTATTCCATGAGAAGTGACGTGGATGTGAGGCAGGCCATGACCGCTGAAAACTCCAAATCAATCCAGAGAAAGGAAAAATGTTACAAATCTGTTACATTCATGAACAGAAGCACACAAAGCACCCGATGCACGCGGCTTCCAGTTTTACAACCATTTATTTTCAATGTTTTACTTCGTTCAGTTCAGTTTTATTTATATAGATATATATTGCCTCAATGTGCTGTATATTATAACGTAAAGACCCCACAATAATACAAAGAAAACAGAGAAACCCCAATAACCCTATGACACCATGTGAGCCCGCGCTCCATACTCTGTCTTAACAGCAAGAAACCTTCAGCAGCTCCGGCTCCTGATGTTTTTTAGTAAAGGTTTAACTACAGCCAGCTTGGAGGCCTGTGGTACACAGCTGATTATCACAGATGGGTGGATCATATTTAAGATTGTTATATAGAAGTCAAATAATGTCATTATGTGTGACTGAATGTGACTTGAAAACGTTTGTGTGTTGAGCAGTGCAGAGACTTCCAGCTGTGTGATCCTCTGATGGGCTGGAAGATGAACCCAACCCTGCCTGGGAGTTTCAATAAGGACCTTTGCTGTTTTGACACGCCTGCGCTCCATAGCACCGTTTTTTCCTTTATCATGAAATCAGAAGAGCTTTATATTATTACTAAAGAGCAGCTTCTGCTACTACCCATCTCGTGCAATACAAACTATAATGACCTGCTGCTATCGGGCTACAGCAAACATTCATTGCTTTACAGAATCATATTGCAGCAACTTTTCTCCTGTATGTTTTACTCTTTTGCATTTATAATCACCCCGTAGTGTTGTGCAGAAATACAACAACACACATGGCAAAAGGACAGTGGTGGTTGGTCAGTGTCAGCGTTCGTAGTGAAAGTGTGAGACAGCAACGCAGGATCATTTATGTCTGATTCAGCCTGAACGTCAGCTTGACCGGGACGAACCTCCATCAGTGCGCGCTGTCGTCAGGCAGATTATTGTTACTGCATCTAAGCTGTGATTTGTATGAAACTATGAAATGGCCAATGTGAAATCAATCAATCAGATAACAGCGCCAAAGGGAGACAATGACAGTTTAAATATTTAGCAGTTTATTAGTCATTTGTGGATTTTTGTTAATTATAATAATGAATGATGTTACTTCTTGTTTTATTTGAAAGTGTCCATTGCTTCATAATTATGTGCACATATGCATGTCTGGAGCTCGAGTCCATAATCTTGGTGAAGCCTTAGTTATAAGATTCAGTCAACACACCGATGCATTACACACTGAGGTTACTTCATTTGCTTCTCATGATACTTGTTGATTGAATCAATCAATCAATCGACTGATTGACATATATGTAGTGGATATTTAAATGATTTGTATATTGGATGAATTGCTTTGATTGTAAACTGAATATTTGCATTTAATGATCTGCAACAATGATGTAACTGTTTTCATCCAGTGTCCAAAAACGTATCCAGGGACAGTCCCTGTGATGTTGGCTACAGGAAATGTGAGGACGGTAACTGCCTCCCACTTCTAAACTAAACTGTTTCCAACCTGCTTACACATCTATACAACAAGTTAACTGTCTTTTATTTTGTAATTACGTTGTGTTACATGTATTCTCTGTTACGCCATTTAATCATCTCATAACAACAAATCAAAAAGTATGAATTTATAGTTGGACTTTTTTAACACTGCCTCACGTTTTAGACTTTTAATGCGTTTGCTTTAAAATTTAAAGATGTTTGTAGAAGTGGATCATTTCACAATAAAACACTGAAAGACATTTTTGTGTTTGCTGTCGTGATCTTCATCGTCAACATCACAAAAATGAAGGTAACGATTATGGAGAATGGCGAGCAAAGTTTTGCACGGTGCAGGACATCACTCCCCTCTGCTGGATAGGATTGGTACTGCATGTATTAGACAGTAAACTCTGGCTTGAAGAGCAGCGGATCACTTTGTGTGAGCTAGAAGTCAAATGTAACCCTCTCAAAGGGTTTGTAATCCTTCATCATTCATCCTTTGCTGATGAAGCACTCAGCACAGTCCTGACTGTGCGATTGAGCCTTTCCCACCATAACGCAGAGCAGCAGGAGTATCTGTTGTCTAACCTGAAGTGGGATACTTGGTCTCTTCTAGCAATCAGTCTGCACAGTGCATGGATACAAGAACTGGTATTCAATGAATAAGTGTGTTTGAATGCTCTGCTTTACTGGACATACAAGTGAAAATAACTCGACCTTTAACAAACCTGCAACTCATCTTTACCTCAAATGGGTCAAAGACATCAACAGCCACATCTGTAGACAGGGAGAGATCTGTTTACAGATGTGGACCATCTACAAGTAACACAGGGAGAAATCATTTTCCTGGCAGCAGAATTTTCTACTAATGAGCCAATAATGTTGGCAAAGTGGAGACAAAGTGGTCCCTCCCACAGCGTCCTAATTGCACAATAGATGCACTGAAGTCATGAATGTAATGCTTCACCCACAATTCGCTCTATGTGAGCAACAGAGATTTGGTCAACTCTAATGGTGGGGTCACTGGTCCCCAGTTCATAGCCTTCTCTTAGTGGTCCATGAGTGATCAGGCCCCTCACCATTGCTCCTGTGGTTTTATTACCTACAGATATAAATATCCAAGACAAACACCTTTCTCCTTCAGTCGGGCTTTTCTCTGTGCAGTTTGAGACGTGTGTCCAGTTTATTTCACTTACTTGGCTTCTCAGGCAGGAGTGGAAACTGTACACTTTCTTTCAATGAAATTAACAACATCATCGAAACGTGTTTGACGATGATATTTTTCCTGTATCTCACACACAGTGTTTCACCATTTCTTCCATACTGGAGCAATATTCATTTCTGACAGGAAACCAGTGTCCTCAGTGACATTACAGCAAACACATCCTCAGCCTTACCTGTCAGCTGGCCTGTCTGTTGTGGCACAACTCACCCCAACTTATGAATACTTTAAACATATTATTAGAAATAGAAATAGACCATCATGCCATGGAGTTATAACAGTGAGGACAGGCAGGGCTGCCGCTCACTCGGTCAGAGCAGTGAAGAAGGGGAAGTCCGCTGGTCAGGTGCGAGGAAGATGAACATGTGCAGGATGACATGAAAATGACAGACGGAGGAAAAAAAGAAACGAGGATCTCAGAGATCTGGACCTGCCAATCAAAGAGCTGACAGCACATATAAAGGCACCAGCATCCTTTATGTGTTCATCACTTTGAGCAAACTCAAAAGCCAGTTTATGGTATTTAAGCACATACAAAGGAATGACACTGATGTCTCTGCAAGCTGGATCAAAGAGGCACATGCAGGCTGGGTTAAGTGTGCATTTATTAAGAAGAAGTAATAGGAAACATTAATAAGTATTTCAGTGGGATGTTATGAACTAGGTCACACCTGTGAAGACAATTACAGCTAATTTCATTTTCTTTTGAATTTAAATTTGTTCTGAACGTGTGCTCATGTGGCGCACAAGGCTTGTATCAAATTGCCTTTGATGTTGTAAATGATCTTTAAATAAACCTTAGAGAAGCAATTTTGGATTCAATTTGTCCAGCTTTTATGACATCAAAATATACTGTTTTACTTTAATAATCAATTGTACAGTTTAGCCAAAGGTATTCTCTCCAAAACGTTAAATTAGTTAAATACTGTGTTTCACATCCAAACTGATCGTTCCCACAGATTCCTGAATATATGAACATATTTTAGTTGGAAGCATTACTGTCATGTTCTGGCTTTAAAGTAAAACTGGCACATGTCACTCCTCTCTCCCCTACTGGCCTCCTTACATTAGCTTCCGGTCTCTTTCCAGTTTGAAATGGTATTATCTGTTTTTAAGAGTATCAATGATTTGATGCCAGAACTTTTGAAACCCTATAATCCTACCAGAGCACCGCGGACTATGAACCAGCTGCTCCCGCAGACTCTGAGATCCAGGCTTAAAAGCAGAGGCGATGGAGTCTTTTCAGTGGAGGCTCCAGATTTAATTTTAAGCTGTTCCAAAGATCTGCCCAGTCTCCTAAAAAAACCCTATTTGTTCTTGCTCTCAGGTCTGGTTGAGACCTCGGCTTTTATTATGCTGTTTATAGTGTATATTTTGTACAACTTGTACAAAGTTCATTTAAAAACGTGCTAAATAAAGGAACCTTGATCCAGCTCTGGTGGTGAATGTACCCCAGCGCAGCTGACCGATGACGAGCATCATTGAGGGGACCGTCAGCCCACCCTGCGGAGTCGGTTCACTGTTCAGCTGATGGCTTACTAACTTGTTCCTGTTAGATTGCTCTCGTGGCAGGATGTGTAAACACGGCCCTGCGGGATTTAATTATTGTGGCATCTGCGTCAAAAACTTTGCGTAAGCCTATTTCTCTCGGCTGTGCGGATCAGTTCACGATTTAATTCTGGCTGTTTGTTCTCGTCTGCTGTGAGCAGCCGACATAATACTGAGTTACATTCACATGTGACGGTGCACGTTACACCTTCGTGTTCCCGCCCCCGACACCGCGAACTTCAAGGCCCTTCCCACGACGCTGCTTTGAGCCTTTGTGAGTAACGACAGTAACGAAGTAACGAAGCCTCAGAACGAGGAAGAGGACGGAAAATTGATGTTTCGTTCACTGTCAGTGAGAAAAATGGGAGAACCAGGTACCCTTTGTGGGAGGCTGAATTCTTTACACTAGAAACATCTATGAACGTTGCGCACTGAGGCTGTTCCATCATTTACTGCTGTCTCTGTATTGCACAGTGTTAATGTGCAAGTTCAGGTTTAATGTAAATGTTGAGGCGTTTCTTAAAATTGAACGAGCGTGATGGGCTCAGTCATTTAAAAATCCCGACCATAGCCTCGGCTCATCGTTCACCGTGCGTGATTCGGAAAAAACGAATAGACGAATCATCTGAAGTGCTTCTTGAATTATCCATCCATCCATTATTTCATATTCAATCTCGTCAGAGTCAACAGAATAGTAGTCTAAATTCCCACGGGTCCTGAAGGTAGCATTTAGTAACTTACTGTAAATTGAGCAGGTTGTGTCACATCGAGCAGGAAGTTTTTCAGCCCAGCGCCAGTTACACCCTGTCGGGGGTTTTCGCTTCACTGTCGACAGAGCAGTGTGTCTCTGAATCAGCGGACTGTTGTTCATTTGAAAGGTGAAAATGAGCCTCCATCGAGCGCTGCTGCTGTTAACGTGTGTGTCGCTGTCGACCACGCTCAGGATTTTATCCGGACGTCTCAAGTGCTCTCGACAGGTGAGAAAGGTTTTACAGTAGAGCGGCTCCAAGTTTGCCGAACACAACAGATACTTCCTGTTCCAGTTTGTGTACGTTATGAAAATAATTTTAGACAAACTTGAAAAGAAACTTTGAGTTTTCCTGGTAGCGAAAGAAAGTTTGTCTTTTTAAAGAATTCGATATTTTTGACTTCTTTACATAAGATTATTGTTCCTTACATAGTTTTGAGCTACATTTTGTTTAAGGCCAATTTTTCTCTAAACAAGGATTTTAAAATAAAACTATGAGCACTGTTCGTAATTCATTTAACTGAGTGTCTTGCTTAGAGTGTAGTCCTCGCACCTGTATTTGATTCTATAAGGAGTGAAGGCGCAGTCACAGGACTGAGCTATGTAATGATCAATGTATAAGTAACGTCGTGTTTAAACTTTTGCGGATCTTTTTTTCTTTTCTTTAGTGTTTGTGTAGCGAAGAACAATGTTACAGTTTATCTGGTTACAGTTTAGCTGGTTACAGTTTATCTGGTCACAGTTTATCTGGTCACAGTTTAGCTGGTTACAGTTTAGCTGGTTACAGTTTATCTGGTTACAGTTTAGCTGGTTACAGTTTATCTGGTCACAGTTTAGCTGGTTACAGTTTAGCTGGTTACAGTTTATCTGGTCACAGTTTATCTGGTCACAGTTTATCTGGTCACAGCCCACAATGCTAATGATTGACAGCTGTTCAACGTTCTGGTTGAGCGCTGTTTATCAGATAAGCAGTGTTCCTGTGTCGTGTATGAGGCACAGCGTTGTACAGCTCTAATATCTATCAACTTAAAATAGAACATCCGGGCATTCAAACTGCTGTTTGCTGAATAATTTTGTAACAGTTGTTGTAAACATTACGTTCATGTGACTCCTCTTCAAATAAAAAAAAGAAAGAGAGTAAAGTCCCTACAGGTGCACTGATAGGACCTTAAATAGGCTCCTACAGAGGAGCCGATGGAAAGCATTTTATAATACTGAATACTACACGTCTCCTTACTGATGTTCTCTTTTTGTCCATCTTTTCCTCTCCAGGATTTGAATTGTGAAGTTCGTGAAAGTGAGTGGATTCTTCAGTCTTCCTCTCGCTGCTGTTGCTCAGATTTCTTGGTTTGATCCTGGTTCAGACAGCGCAGCCACTGCTGACAGAGGAAGACAACAAGAATTTGGAAAACAATCAAACAAAAAGATATTCTTTAAATGCACCAATATTACATTTGGGAAGAGTCATTTGTGATGTCGTGCTGTAATATACCAGGAAGTAACAAACACAGTGTTGAAACACAGCAACAAAAAGAGAGACGAACAATGAACACAATCGCTTAAACTAAAAACCTTTGCTAATGGGACAATGACACTGGCTGTTCTCTGTGTGCGTTTGCAGCTAACTGTCTGGACAAACGGTGGCTGAAAGTTCATGATTACACTCCCAGCAATCCAGAGGACCTGCAGGTGTCAGTGGACGTCAGGCCAGACGAGGCAGGACTCCTGCAGCCAGTGCTAGA